TATATAATAGACTATAAACAATATATTTACCAGGTAAACTCAGGTAAATATATTGTTGAAGTTTAATGTCATGTTTTAAGTTCTAAATTAGCTGAGTGAGGTAGCACCAGGTCGTAACTAAATAATAAACAGATATACAGTAATTCATATCCAGAGTCTGACTAATATATTTGCCAGTGTTGATTCAGGGTAATATCAATGCCAGAGTCAGATTAATATAACTGCCAGAGTCAGGTTAATAAATGCCAGAGTCATGCTAATACATGTACAAAAAAATGTACTCACTTAGTTGTAATGTAGTCACCTAGTTGTATTTAAGGAAGTTGAAATTTAAAATTCAAAATATATAATTTGAGAAAGATTTCTAAAAAACATATATATACCATTTTAATTTTTAAACTGTTTAATATGATAAAACAGTTTGAAGCATTAAAAGCCACAACATAGGAGAAATCTGAGAACAAGAGATGTTTTTTTACCCACATGATTATTAACATATGGAACTACCTACCCGCCGAATACGTAAATGGCAAAACTCTACTAACTTTTAAAGTATAGATCATCAAGGCAAATGAGGGGACCTTCTACAAGCAGCTGGCTTTCATTCTTTTTCAAGACCACTAGTATTTCTGGATCTCAGGTAAACTCAGGTACAGTAATATAATTCTGTACAATATCACAGGTATGAATTCCTGCTAGGCTAAATTGCTAACTCTCTCTGCACACTCTTGTATCAACTCCTAGCATCTTCAACTGGTAAGCACCACACTAAATACACAGTAGGTAATTACAGTTCAGTAATTCTTAACTAAATAATAAGAGTATCTCCAGCAAAATAAGAACTTTATTTACGAGACTAATGACACTTATATATCATGTAAGATGAAACAGTATATTGTAACAAGGTGTTTATATCATTATATTATCATTTTTACTTTCTCAACCCAATGTACGTTCTAATATATAAATAAATAAATAAATAAATAAATATATACACGAGAATATTCACACACATTATATATATATATATGTCGTACCTAGTAGCCAGAACGCACTTCTCGGCCTACTATGCAAGGCCCGATTTGCCTAATAAGCCAAGTTTTCATGAATTAATTGTTTTTCGACTACCGAACCTAACTTTTTCGGCTACACACACACACACACACACACACATATATATATATATATATATATATATATATATATATATATATATATATATATATATATATATATATATATATATATATATATATATATGCAATTGACGATCACAAAACACTGATCATTTTATGCGGAAAATCCACAGAGAAATATGAAATGAGGTGGACGTTTCGGCTTTGTTAAAGCCTTTGTCAACACCAGACTCAATTGTCTGGTGTTGACAAAGGCTTTAACAAAGCCGAAACGTTCACCTCATTTCATATTTCTCTGTGGATTTTCCGCATATATATATATATATATATATATATATATATATATATATATATATATATATATATATATATATATATATATATATATATATATATATATATATATATATATATATATATATATATATATATATATATATATATATATATATATATATATATATATATATATATATATATATATATATATTTATTTATTAATTTATTTATATATTTATGCATATACAAGAAGGTACATTGGGAATGTGAGGATACATAACATGGTAATTACAGTCTTGTAAAGCCACTAGTAAGCGCAGCGTTTCAGGCAGGTCCTTAATCTTAGAAAATTTTAAGTAGATAAATACTTGCAAAATTTATAGACAAAAAAAATGATAACAGTTACATGGAATGAAAAAAAGAATATGAGAGAAAATTGTAGGTACAGTATATTAAAGCACATAGGTAGCTAAGATTGATTACAATGACAGCTTGAATGGTAGTTGACAAAAATTGGTAGGCATAATACAGCAGAAAACAATATAAGATTGATTGCAATGACAGCTTGAATGGTAGTTGACAAAAATTGGTAGTCACAATACAGCATATGGCTATTATATATATATATAAATTATATATAAAAGATGTCTACGTATAATGATTCACACATTCTGGACTGACTACCTAAAACGGTAATTTTGCTTTATCATCTGAATGCACCAAACTATGCCTTTTCATATTTCCAAACTGAAGTCGAACACCCGAAAATGAATATATCCATGAAAACTGAATCACGTCCTACTATTTGGAGAATTGTTAGTTCTTTTTCATACACATATGTCTAGTTTGTGTCATATAAGTATTCATCCCGATGGTTGGTAAATATTGGTGAAACAGAAGGATAAAAGTCAAACATCTGTTAACTTTTCTTTTAAAGTACTGTATAGCTGGAAAATATCAAGGCAAACCTTCGACAATCTGCCGATTTCCTTTCCTCTTCAAGGCTACTATTGTTAGTGTCTGTCACGGTAAACCTATGTAAAATCGGAATTTTTTTTTCAACAGGACCTTGCACTAGAGTTGATGTTGGGAGACGCTCTGCTTCGTGGCTGATGGATTAATATTTGACTGTTGGTCAGGACTTGAGCATTGTTAATTACAGTTACACTCTGTAGGACCACTAGACGGTTAATGGTCGTCGTTCTTCTTTGTGATAGGTTCAGTTAATTGTTTAGTCACGGGAGACATCTCCCGTCAGGCAGGGTGCGATCGCACCTCCACAGATCTCCAGTATCATCTATTGATACTGGTAATGGCTCAGAGAGGGCGTCCACTTACGGGCTATTCATGGCTGTGCCACCTTTTGGGTGGCTTAATCTTCATCAATCACCAATCAATCAATCTATTGTTTAGTAGCCAGTATTATTCAGTTTATTGGCCAGTGCGTTGGCATCAGTTCTCATTGACGAACGAGCAAAAATTAGAAGGATTTAAATCGTAATTTAAATAGTTATCTCATTCCTTCTTTCCTTTGAATGTCAGTGACTGTGCTTCTGCTATGCTTAATTGCCTCAAAAGCGGCCAATTTTCATGATACCTTAAATTATAAAGGCAAAATTTGGGCCGAGTATACAAGTATAAGCAAGATTGATTGAGTATCCGCAAAAAGTAAGAAAAGAAAACAGCACACCCGTTACATTACAGAAAACGTATTCCTCGTTTCGGGGAGAATATTCTAGGGAGGCCAGCCGGTAACTGGAACAGCCCGGTAAGTGCATTTATGTACTAAATACGTAAGTATGTAAATGTACTTATTACACTTAGTATTAAAACGTACTGTCTATTCGGAGGATGGGTTGCGTATTGACATCCCAGCTTAATACTGGCAATTACAGTGCCACGCTGTCTAGTGAAAGTTTTGTGATATCCGTGATATGATTTTGTGATATATCTCTCTCTTAATCTCTCCTTCGTATCTCTCTCTCTCTCTCTACCTTCCTGTCTCTCTCTCTCCCCCCTGTATGGGGAGGTAACACAGGCAGTAGCTACGTGCAGAATGGCTTCCTGATACCTTGGGCGGCAGAAAGCTGGTTCCCTGGTCCTTCCTCAGCTAGCCAATCACAGAGACGCGCATCTAGGGCCTAAGACCCGTAGCCAATCGCAGTTCCCTTGGTTGGCGAGCAAGTTGGCCTCCCAAGGCGTCTGTCTTGGTTGCTATGGGAACGCCACAGAGGTACCTCATGGCTCACCACCCGCTCCATCTCCCTTTGCTTTCTCCCTCACTCTTACAGTAATAAACTGGTACACGCTCTAACTATTTCCACAAATGCCTTACAACGGCCATTGTAACATATTTGGATTGCTGATGACCTAGGCTCTCCAACGAGCCTAAACACGTAATTTCTCTGTACGGGTTACCAAATCTAGACCGAGTTCACGCTCATTTACGTACCTGGTGCACGGCAGCGTCCGTGCACCCCACACTCTAGAAGAAGATTTAGGTGTTAAAACCCATACCCTCACACCATACAGTGGGTCCATTTATTTGCATGGAGTGTTTGCACAGATTTAGACTGACTAAGGGTGTCAAAGATATGTTTATTTCTGGTGTGGTGCTCATGGGTTCTATTTCATATAACAAGGAAGAGTTTCGGATCAGGATTAGAACTTAGGAACAAGTTTTGGTACATGTAAATATCACAAGAGAATGAGTGGAGTGAATAAACCGATGGGCTGTGTGCAGTCAGAAGATAAATTTTGTTATAGTCCTTATAGCAGATTTTTGATGCGTGATGATGGGCTTGTGGTAATTTCCAGTTGCTAAACCCTATACACAGATACCGCGTGTTAAGGATAGATTAGCTAGTAGTATAATAAGAGGAAAGCAGAGTGGGGAAGACAATGTCTGACTTTAGCGTATACCGACAGTTTTTCAGACTTTTTTGGCTATGTGTTGTATGTGGGTGCTGAAATATACAAGTTTGGTCTCTTGTCTGTTGACATCCATGAGAGAACTTTCTTTCATTCATTATTTAGAATATTTACCTATAAACAATCTAACTGTATTATTTTAAGTTATGCTCAAAACGCTTTGCACAATAGTGCTCTTATTAAATAATTCATTCATACTATAAATGTACATACTCTGCAACAATTTCTAAACCCTAAACATAGATATTTATAAGGGATACCTACATAAATCAAAGCTTGTTCAGCTCTGGCTTAACTGTAGCCGTCGAGGCCAAAAGCGAGACTGTGGCCTTTAGGTAAATTCAGGTATATATGACGGGTTAGACTGACAGGTTTGTATAGTTTTATTAATCTGAATTTCATAAATATTGGAGAGAGGTTTGCATACTGCCAGTCTGGCAGTGATATGTACTCACCTAGTTGTGCTTGCAAGGGTGGAGTTTTGTCACTTTGGTCCTGCCTCTCAACTGGTGTACAAATTCCGAAGCCTATATGGCTCTATCAAATCTACATATGAAACTATTCACGGAGTCTGCCACTCAGCTGTCGGCGCCCGACAGCTCTATATTTTTGTAAATTTTTTTATGAAAATAAAATAATATTTTATGTGTTTTCTTTTGCTTTACTGGATATTTAAAATTTACAAGACGTACATTGGTTGAAACAATGAGCGTTTAAAGGTTATGGATCTTTTGGAGCTTCTCCGCTTCCGGATAGGTACCGAGGCCGCATCAGGCGTTTCCTCTCTGGATCGCCACACTGAGGCGCTGAAACAAGAAACTGGCAGTCGTTGGGTCTTTATGATGCCAAAGAGCCTGGAAACTAATTATTTGAGAAATCTCAAGGCACCAAAGCAATCCCCAGGAATTATATCACTGAGGAGAGCGAGAGGGAAGAGATAAGGATTTATGGAAGGCTGGAACACTCAGCATGAGCTGCGTCCTAAAAAAAAAGTTTCAACACTGTAACAATACTTCAATAGAAGGATGATGTGTGAAAGAATTAAGCACGTCAATACTACCTTTTGTGTAAGGGTGATGAGAGATCCAATTTTACCCCTATTACTTAGAGGACAACTAGGGTTGTTTGTAGGCAGAAGGGTGTTGCCAACATTCAAGCGGGCAACCTATATGCAAGCTGGTTGAGTAGAAATGTTTCCATGCTCATTAAACTGAATATTCCTATTGTATACAATGTACTAGCCAATGATATTCTATTACATATGTCCCCTGAAATACAAGTGTCTTACACCCCATCAGCAAAAAGAGTAAGTAACACCCAGCACTCCTGAAATCAACAACACTTGAAACTATTGATTCCTTTATAAATAACTTATGGCCTCACGAGCACTATGCTTAGTCTGATGGGTCTGTTCAAATGTCAACATGTCGCACGTTAGCGGCCAGTAGAATATAAAAACAACATATGTACACAGACCGCAGGTGTGAGACTGATTATCTAGCTTATCTCCACACAGGCAGAGTTAGCTGCACTACAACGTTGCACTAATGCACTGAAGAACAGTGGAGTAACTTTCTGTGATTCAAAGTCAGCTCTTCAGGCCCTACGAACCCAACATGCAAAATAGATAGTAGGAGTGTTGTGACATTCATTACATTCAACATTATTAATGCACAGAGCAAGAGTTTCAGAGTCTCATCAATGGATATTATCTCACATAGGTGTTGTCTAGCATGATGACACAGACAAGGCAGCTAAAATTGTATGTGATAAGCCTGAAATTAACATGGATATGGGCATTCCAATCTCTGCTGTAAAAGCCGCAATATTTCATGAAATTAGGGGTGACAGAAGAGCAGTTACTGACATTCAAAGGACAGAAAGCACGAGTATAAAGAGCTATAACATGTTTAGAAACAAGAATTATATGTACGGGCAGCATAAAACATCCACTACACAGTGTACCATTGTACACAATGCAAGAATTAGGCTGGGATATCGATTTCTATGGCAGGTGGCTGCAGGTAATGAATCCCCCAATGATGAACATTCCAATTGTAAACTATGTGAACAAGAGCTAGGACATACTCTCAAACACTATATCTGTGACTGCCCTGTTATCAGTGATTTCAGATCATATGGTACGAGGTACTTTGAGTTCTGTTATTACTTCATTCACTCACGAATATTGCAAGATAATATTTGCGCTGTACCCAGATTTTGCTAGTGGAGGCTAATAGATCAGTCTTTCATTTAATGGTCTCCTCTGATTCCATGTAGAATATATGAGAATGCAAGAATACTAACGAGAGTACACGGAATACTAACTATCCTGTGAGATGGGGATATTAGATGAACTTATAGCCAGATTTTGTATCTACCCTGAGTAATCGTTTATATATATAATAGGGTAATATCTACCCGGAGTAATCTTTCATGTACAACAGGGTAGCATCACATTGATGTGTATAACTAAGCTAGTTAATAAAAAATAAAAAATAAATTACTATTGCGTCTTATTACTGAGAAAATATTTCATCTGCGTAGCGTCACACAAAGGTGACCTTGGCCGCGCTCCTGGTGGGTGTTCATGTGGGTGTGTTTACTGCTGCCTACTACCAACTGTTTTCTCTTAACTAACTTTGGTCATCATTATTTTACCACTCCTCCGATTACCTCTTTCTTGGGCTTGGGATTTACAAGTTAACATGTTTTAAGTTAATGTTTTCAGTCATACACTCACACAGTGAAATATGTCAACACATTCTTGTTGCAACACCAGCCGCCACCTGTGTACGTCTCGCTCCATCACACGTAGACACTCTCTACACTTCTCTTATCATTATTTTAATCCACAATAGATGGAACAGGAGCAGGAATCTTACGTAAAAGCTGTTTTTGAGGGGTTTGAATGGTTCTTACAATAACAAATCTTACATAAGAATTGATAAATATCAGAGAATATAAATCTTATAACAGATTGTTGGAGTAAAGTTGGGAATGTACTCATGATTTGCCAAAGGTAGAGCCGAATTAAGTACTTTTTAGCTAGCATGATATATGAGAAAAAATTCATAGGAAGCTTAATGACTAAATACAATGAGAACACCAATGAAAGGTTGAATATTTCAACAATATTACGAAAAAAAAGGTATGACTAATGTACTATCTTGCAAATATTTATTGTTGAGAGAATAAAGTTGTATTTATAAATTGGATTATATGGGAATATTCAGAGCTTTATGAGGCAAAACATTAAGTAGATTTCTTAATATTTTATTGTCCAGTATTAGACTGAAATGAATGGAAATTAAGATTATACAAATTATAATTGATTCTCAGTACATATTTTGTAACAGGATAGGAAGACGAGATATTCAGTTGAAGCAATATTACAGATTTAGAAAGGACAAATGCGATATATCATTTGTCACTTGCTATAACACAATCTTTCACAGAAATATAGTGTACCCAAATTTTAATTTTCAGTAAATAATAATATTAGTAATATATTTTTGTATTGCCTTATATTTTTGTCAGACCTTATGGTCTTGATCACGGCTTGAGAGACTGTTACCAGCTAAACACAATATACACAATATTTGTTTATTTTCGTAACTCCAACATTGTTCAGTACCATAAGCTATTAAGTGTTCAGTATAGTAAATCCTGCACTCTTCAGTATCATAATTCCTACATTGTATTGTATCATGAATCCTACATGGAGTTATGAAATCCTTGTTTTGATAAATATAGTTATTGTTAGAAGAGATTATCTCTCTTTGCAACTAATGCCTCTATTCATGTGTTCACCCAACAGTAAATAGGTACTGAGGAGTTAGTCAACTGTTACTAGGTTACATCCTGTGCAATAAAACTTTTAGAACTGGCTGATTAGGTATTTTGAAAATATTAATGTAAATTAAACTTAAATTGTAATCTTGACGACACATGGTTCTAGTATCAACAGCGACTGTGAACGTATCACTAATGAAATTATCACTAAGGTAGGCTCAGTATTCCTCTTTTTCCTTTACAGTATGGTACGTGCAATACCCTTTATGTTTCCCATTCTCAAGTCGATTGAGAATGGTCCAGGACGGACCGAAACGTCGTCGTCCCTTCACCTTCTAATGTGTGGTTTGGTCAATCTACAAAATCATGTTTTCCAACTCCAGCATGGGATGGGATCCACACCAGTTTTTATACAATAGTTATCATTGGCAAAATTTCCATTCCATTTAATATTACAAGCTACTTCAGACATACATTGTGATGGGTTATTTAAGGACTGCAGAGCACTTTTAGAGTCACAGAAAATCACTTCACCACAATTGAGCTTAAGGTACTCAGTGGCTAGATAAATACCCAATAGCTCAGTCTGTGTCGTGCTTGCCAGTTGTTCAATCTTTATGTATTAGTCATGATCATTTCATTTCCTTTATATACTGCACATGCACATGAACAACCTGTTCTATCAGTGCCTAATTGCACATAGCCATCAGTAAGGTATACGATTCAGTTGGTTTGAGATTTTGAAGATGACTGTCAGTAACTTCTAATATTATACATCTCTTAGTTTCAGTGTTATGCATTTGTTTTACACTAATGGGAGTATAATGCAAAGAGACCTGCACATCTTTCCAAAGGAAAATATAGTGAACAGTTTTATCAGGATTAAGAGACACATTCAGTTTCAGAAGAGTACAGGCACAACAACTGAGCCACACACTGTAAGGAACTTTTTGCAGCGGAGTGAGGGAACAGTCAGAATTGTTTAGAATGGATATTTTTGAGATTTTTTTTTTGAGATATATACAAGAGTTGTTACATTCTTGTACGTATCAATTTAATTTGAATTAATTTGATTAATTGAATTGAATTGAATTTAATTGAATTAATTTAATTTGAATAATCAATTAAGATATCAATTTAATTTGAATAGAGCTGAGGGGGACCCATGATTTTCAAAGTTTTGGCGCAAAACATAGTAATAAGTAGAACGGTTCTCTCATAAATAGAAGGTAAATTTCGTTCCTTTGAACTGTTATCAATTCTGACAGTTCTAGGCCAACCCAGGATGATGCTCATGGCATCATTCTGTACTACATCTAGGTCTTGTAATTGTTTAGGCGAAAAATGAAAAAGATGCAAGGCATAATAATCAGCAACAGATCGTATGAAGGCAGTGTAAAAGCTTCGAGCAAATTTTATGTTAATGCCAAATCCTTTGCCCACATGAGGTTTGAGAGGTTTAAGACGCTCAAGTTTTCTGCGAAGGTTGCTGATGAGATTTGTATCATTAACTTCGACATCAAGATATTTATATGACTCACAAGTCTCCATAGGCACTCCATTAATAGTATAGTTAACATGAAGAGAATGGGGAATAAGAACCCTTGTTTTATCAACAGAGATTAGGAGGCCACATTCTACTACTTTCTTGGAGAATGCATCAAGTAACACTTGTAGCCTTGGTTTACTGTGTGCCATAATACAAATATCATCAGCATAACATATAACAGTTTCAGTAGGTTGTATATCTATGTCATGGATAAGTTTGTGCATAAGTATATTTAAGAGCATAGGGCTTAGGACGCCACCTCGAGGTGTGCCTAGTTTGAAGGCATCTGTTCTTGTACTTTAACTCCTTTAAATAGGACACTAGCACACCTGTTGGATAGGCAGTTCTTTATCTAACCCGGATGATTACATTTGATTCCAAATTCAGCAAGTTGCTCTAATAGTATTTCGCCATTAGCTACATCGAAAGCTGACTTTAGGTCAGCTTTAATTGCTGACCTGGAGAGCGTGCAGAGATCCTTTACTGCTAGAATCCACTCAGTAAAACACCTAAACTACTGGGGCCAACTAAAGAGCCTAAATCTGTACTCCCTTGAGCGCAGGCGGGAGAGATACATAATAATTTACACGTGGAAAATATTAGAGGGGCTGGTCCCAAACCTGCACACAGAAATAACATCACATGAGACCAGAAGACATGGCAGGATGTGCAGAATACCCCCGTTGAAAAGCGGAGGTGCATCAGGTACTCTGAGAGAGAACTCTATCAACATCAGAGGCCCGAGACTGTTCAACACGCTTCCGCTACACATAAGGGGCATAACTGGCAATCCCCTCACAGTGTTCAAGAGAGAACTGGATAAGCACCTCCAAAGGATACCTGATCAACCAGGCTTTGACTCATACGTCAGGCTGCGAGCAGCCGCGTCAAACAGCCTGGTTGATCAGTTCAGCAACCAGGAGGCCTGGTCGACGACCGGGCCGCGGGGACGCTAAGCCCCGGAAGCACCTCAAGGTAACCTCAAGGTAGGTCAATAAAGACTGCCTGTGTACCATCCTGGGAGTGTACAAAATATTCAGCAAAGCATATTTGAGTGTTACACTTGGGCCTAAACCCATATAGATTAGGAATAAGTTTTTTTTTAATTGAAACATGAAACGATTGAGAACAATTCTCTCCAAGACTTTACACATGCAAAATGTAAGGAAAAGGGTTTAAATTTTTGAGAGTTAGGTTTAGGAATTGTTGTATAAGACTTTGTGTTCATTTCCTTGGCAACATACTTTGTGAGAGGCTCATATGATAGAGGTCAAGCAGAGGGTGGCTAGGGATACCATTCCGCAAGCTTAAGGTGTTATAAGTTATACCGTCCTCACCAGGAGGCAGTTTGTTTAGATTTCCCTAATGCTGATGTCAATTCAAAAGGGGTTATAGCAACCTGAACCGTTAAATCTGGTGAGGAACGTGCTATTTCAATATTAATGTTTCTGTTAATGTTGGTATTGTTTAAATGCTGCTGTATATCTGGGGTAAGGAAGAATTTGTGAGACACTAGACCATTGAGCTAAGAGCATGTCAGCATATTTTTCAGTAGTATCATGAAGCTGAACTGGGGTTGAAGGTTTGAAATAAAATGTTTTTAATTTGCATGTTTGGTGGGCAGGAGTTAGTGGAGTAAAGGAACGGTTTCTAAATGACCCTGCCTAGCCCCAGGAGTCAAACCCATTTCATTTTCCACAATATATAATACAATATGTGGAATTTGTTATGTTTTTAGAATAAAACTAGAGTAAATGAAAGTGCGTTGAAGAAATAAATCAGAATCGAAGGGTTTCACACTCAAGGAGGGAAACCCTTCGACTACGACTTACCGTATTATGAAATCAATAAATCATTTTTACTGAGCAAGTACGATCCTACATGATTATGTTTTCGGAAGCTAAAAAATTGACGTAACATATACAACCAAAGGTATATTGTAGAGTGTTCTAGGTGGTTCTTACTTAATTGGAGATCCTTGTGTAAACAAATGTTTACTTAATTTAAGACGAAACAAATGGAAGGTAATGAGATTTGGGACAGGTGTGAGGACACCTGAAGGACAATATATGAGAAAGTAGAAACAATATCTCGTAGTAGAAACAAACAACTTCTGTGAAAGAAAGGGAAGTGGCTCTACCAAGATGGTTTACGTTCGTGCATCCTTCAGGAACCTGCGGGGGGTAGAAGCCTTCACAACGTAATACACTACTTTAGGCAATACGCGCCACCTTATTAGACAAAATTAAATACTTGTTCAGAATATTTTATCGTATTCATCATTAAAAATAAATAAAAATAATAATCATAATAAAATAATAATAACAATAATAATAACAATAATAATAATAATTATTATTATTATTATTATTATTATTGTTATTATTATTATTAAGTTTCTTTTGTGGGGAATCGACTGCGAGATTTATATATATTTTATTTATATGAATTTATATGAATTTATATAAAATTTATATTTACATCAATTTATATATTTCGATAGCAGGTTGTATGATGTTCATCGAACTGGATTTCTGCAATTATCTCACAAATCGACTCCTTACACATTAAGGGGGGGGGGAGATGTAATAAATTTATATATATGCAGCCAATCAAACTACACTATTAAACTACATATATTAGTAATGATAATTCAGAGACCTTATCTTATTGTACAGTAGGCCTAGTCCACAAGGTATAATGAAGGATGAAGACACCAAATAATCCTCGTAGTTGAGAAACTAGCATCCAACACCCAAGTAACTGATGTACCAAGATTAATATTTGCTTATTTTTCTACACTTGTCAAAGGGTCACTTGCTGTAAAGCCAGAATCCTATATATGACAGCAATATCAGAGAAAATACTGTATATTATATAAGATAAGTACCAAGGAGTAATTACCTGGGTTGAGGCGTTGTCTCTCGTGCTAACTGGTTCACCCTATATCTACCTAACATTAACTGGCCAGAAAATGCCTAGATAAGAAAATGGGTTTCGGTATTACACTTCCCTTGTTTGGATGTTGACTGTGTGTTGATCATGGAAGAAACACTAATTTGATCTCCATAACACTTCGTCCAAGGGAGAATTATAGGAGCTAAACTCGCTCCAACGACTCCAGTCTAACAATGGCTGACCTCTCTCCCTCTGACGCCATGGCACTCCTTGTCCAGATGTCAATAATTGGTAGAAAAGTTTCATATACTTTATTTTGGTACAAATAATTAGGTTAATTCAAATGAAATGTTTTTATGTTTTACAATATTATCTGCTTATTGTATTTAATATTAGTAAATGGTGTCGTGTTTTCCGACATCTTTCATAGTAAAATAATATTCGCAGTGTGGAATCCTAAATTTCCTAAACTGTCCAAAATTCCAAAAACATTCAAGCAGACAAATTTTCTGATGTTAAGAGTCCCAGCCACATACACAGGAAAAAGACGTGACAGGCGATATAATCACAACATACTCATTTACGGCTGTGAACCTACCTCACAAGGAAGGCCTGGGAGGGAACCCAGGTCAGGGTTCGTGGACTGATCGCCGCTCGGCACCCAGCAGTAACCAGGGACCTGGATGTGGCAAGATTAGCAGATTGTGTTCTGCGAAAGAAATTCAAGACATAGGAGTGAGAGTGTTTTGATTGCATCAAGTTCAAAAACGTCCTCCCCAATAGCCTTTAAGATTAATGTGTAAAATAATCTTTTAACTCATATATTTGTGTTGAAAATTTATGTCCAGAACCCTGTAACGAGAACAAATATACACAGCAGATGGAGGTTGGGATCAAATTAATAGTTTTGAAAATGTCAATATCACACATCACTCATCCACCACCTAAGATTAAAGTATCACATACTTGTTATATCTGTGCAAACTATATTATATTTTATATTTATATTATGAAAAAATGGATCAGAATCAGTTATTTGCTCTTCTACCTAACGGTTGAAAACCACCCAGGTCTGCCAGCTCATGACCAACTCATCAGGTCAGGTCTATCACTACTACACCGCACAGGAGCTGCATGAGCTCCTCCGTCCCGGATGACGACCTCCAGCCAACTGAGCAGATAAATGAATGCCAGCCACCCACACTATGACGTCATCACAGTATGTCGATCAATAACTCCCTCAACAGTGCTGTTTGATACTACGATGGTAGCCAGTGATGGAGAACTTAAGGGAAACATTTTTAATCAACGAAACAATATTTTGCTAGATTTGTGAGGTCAGATAAACCTCTGCTGATGGTTTAATTTTCATCTATTTTATATTGAATGAGTAATAGTTCGAGAGCAGCCACCAGAAGAGAGGCTCAGATTATGGCCATGATACTGCAGCTGGAGACAGGAGCGTCCGCCACACACGGCGGCTGGACCCGGACTGAGCCCATTACTGACTCCCAGCCACCCACCCTATGACGTCATCTCCTTCGCACCAACACGCGCCTTGCTGATGTTTTGGTTTTATTCTTCTCAGCATTATTATGTTCACTGGGAACCATCAGCTAAGGGCTCCAGCCTCTGATCGTGCGAGTAACTTATGATGTCGTTCTGATATTTCGATTCTAAACAACACTCAATGTGATTGATCGAAAAGGTTCACCGACTCAATAGGAAAGACTCCTTCTCCAACCCACATAGAGCACCTCACCTAAAGCAGGACAACCGCTAACTGCCACACCACAAACCTCCTGCCGCAGAATAACAACAGAAGATCAACAATATCAACAAGGCTATAAGCCAAGATCAATACATCATGCTAACCCATGGTAGATCGTCCACCGAACTTTCAAACCTCCTCTCTCCTCACCCAATAATTTTCCAAGAATTTCACCTCCACATCCCTCTTCCGCCTGTATCCTTTCCAAGCTCTTTAGACATCAAATCGCAAAAAAAATCTTCCAGTATTCGAATGTGTATGAAATAATTGTAGAGCTTAACCATTTGGTCGGAAGCCATTGATACCAGGCATTCATAGATATGGTGTTGGAGAGTGTGCCCCCAAGCTCTTGTTGACATAGTTTACAGTATGAGAGCTCACCGTTAGGAGATTCATAGCCTGCAGCCACCTGGCATAGGTATCGATATCCCAACCAAATACTTCCAACTATATTGCCAAGCTTTCGAGTGAAAGTTTTGTGATATCCGTATTTGTAATTCTGTGTATTCTACATATATAATAACTATTCTCGGGTTTTCTGTCTTTTGAGTGTCAATGTCTGCTCTTCTGCCATCCCTAATTTCCTAAAATACTACACTTTTACAACAGAGGTTTGAATACGCCAAACGTAAAAGTGTTTCTCGCTGTGACTTCTGCTGGCTATAAGCTGAGGCGTGTGACGTCATGGGGTGCGCAGTGAGCAGCCTTCTATCTGCTCACTCTGCATACATCCACCATGCATGGCGGAGGCCGCGCTCCTCAGTCCCCTGCTAATATAATTAATTTTGTCGGGGACAGGCAGTCTGTATATATATATACACATGTTAGACCCAAGGTCGGACTACTGATCCCTTACCAGGATGCAACCCCACAACGCCGGTGGGGGCCGATGGCTGAGCGGACAGCACGCTGGGCACGTGATCCTGTGGTCCCGGGTTGGATTCCGGGCGCCGGCGAGAAACAATGGGCAGAGTTTCTTTCACCCTAATGCACCTATTACCTAGCAGAAAACAGGTACCTGGGAGTT